AAAAATCAACAAAAAAATTCCATTAAATAATCTTTTTAATCATTTTTAAAATTGTAATTATGATTTTTTTAAATGGAAAAAAAGGGCAAAAACGTGTGATCAAATAATGAACCAATCACAAGACTCGTGTAGCGGACACACCTGTCGTAGCGGGTAATTGTGCAGCTGTACAAACAACAGGAAGTTGAGCCACTGCCCGTCACGAGCGCAGTCCTGTGGGAAGGCGGGGCTTAGAGGAAGAGCGTGCAGGTGACAGAACTGGACAGGAAGTGCCCACTCCAGCGCCGCCTCGTACGACGATCTGATTAAAACACAGAAGCGGACACACTGATCAGTGCTGCTACTGTTAATGAACCTAAAACTACTAAAAATCATTTTCATTAACTGAAATAGCTCAGGTAAAATAAAACAAATACTAGCTGAAATACTAAAATGAGAAATGATGCCTTGTCAACTAAATAAAATTAGTTGAAGTACTAAAACTGAAATAAAAATACATTAACACCAAGTATAAATATAAAAAGCTAATAAAAATGACAAAACATACATTACTAAAACTTAAAATAAATCAATAAATAAAAACGAAGATGAAAAATGAAAATATATGTAACAACTTTATATTATTTTTACAAAGTTTGTTTGCATTTTCAACAATGATTTTGGCGTGAAGAAAATTCAATGTCACATATTTGTATTCATTTCCAATCAGTATGTTAAGTTTCATTAAAAAAAAAAGACAGAAATAAATGACAAAAATATGTTACATAAAAAAATTTAAATTATTTCCTTGTGCGTATTAGGGATAGAATGCTATTAAGCCTTGGCAAGAAAAAAAAAAGAAGCAGTTTATTCCATAAATGTTTAAAATGTAATTTCCACCCGAGAACAAACAATGATTTGGGACGTGATGGAAATTACATTTATTTTAAAAAAAAAAAAAACAACAACAACAACAAACAAACAGTAGAATTTAATATATTCATTAACTAACAAAAAGTAAAAAAAAAAACATATATTTTTTTCAATATTTTTATAAAATTTTTTTTTTTTTTTACTCCCATTACTACAATGTTTTTAATCTTTTTCTATATTAAGTAAAATTAGTCCATGTCCCTCGAAGCATCCTAGGTGTGTATGACTTTCTTCTTTCAGACGAGTCCAGTCGGAGTTATATTAAAAATGATCCTGGCTCTTGCAAGCGTCAGAATGGGAGGAGGTGTGTGTTTCTGTTCAACAGTCCAAAAGAAGTCAAATAAAGTGCATGCATCCGTAATAAAACGTGCCTCACACGGCTCCGGGGGCTGAATAAAGACCTCCTGAAGCGAATCCATGTGTTTTTGTAAGGAAAATATCCATATTTAAGACGTTATAAATTATTTTTTCTCAGGTGGATGATGTAGGACGTATGCGAAGAAGAGAAAGTCATTCACACCTCGGATGCTTTGAGGGTAAAACATGGGCTAATTTTCATTTTTGGGTGAACTAACCCTTAATGATCCTGGCTCTTGCAAGCGTTAGAATGGGAGAAGGTGTGTGTTTCTGTTCAACAGTCCAAAAGAAGTCAAATAAAGTGCATGCATCCGTAATAAAACCTGCCTCACACGGCTCCGGGGGCTGAATAAAGACCTCCTGAAGCGAATCCATGCGTTTTTGTAAGGAAAATATCCATATTTAAGACGTTATAAATTATTTTTTCTCAGGTGGATGATGTAGGACGTATGCGAAGAAGAGAAAGTCATACACACCTCGGATGCTTTGAGGGTGAAACATGGGATAATTTTCATTTTTGGGTGAACTAACCCTTTAAATAGTTACAGTAGTTTGCTCATTAAAATGTATTTTCTCCCCCACATATTAATATGCGGGGGAGTGTTTTGATGCAGAACACTGACCGACAGATGCCTTTCTTCTCCAGAGCGTCTCTGACTGCCGTCTCCAGATGAACCAGCAGCTCCTGAGCGCTTCGTTTCTCACCGTTGACCAGCTTCCCAGCCTTTTCCACTGGAACAGAGAGAGAAGTCAGCGAGAGCTCTCAAACAAACCTCGAGCTGTGGCTGAGTGCAGTGCTTTGGGTACCGAGCTCCTGCTGCAGTGAAGCGGCGTCTCTGTGGTCCTCGCAGGTCTGAGTCCAGAGTCTGAGGACGAGGCTGAGCACGCGCAGATCCACCCTCAGCTTGAGGCTACAGACACCCAGCAGCTCGCAGAAACACACACACGCCGCCGACACACACGTGCTGCTGAAGTTCAACAGGCCTAACGAGTACGCCTGATCCGCAGCCAGAGACACCCTGATACCACAGACATTTACATTTCAATATTACACATACATACATGTTTTTTTTT